GGTTGTTACGTCACAATCCGAATAAGCAGGATCAATTACAAAATGTATACAAGATAAACACATAAATATATATAATACTTGCGTATTATATATAACGATGCTTGGTATATAATTGTACCATTTTTTGGTCTAATATTATTTACATGAAATGTTAAAAACAACTAGAAAATACCAACATGTAAATTTGATTATAATCCTGCCCAAATTTGATTAAACTAGAGCAAACTATAAACGAAAGAAATATTCCTGAAAAATGTACAAGGATAATAATACCAGGTGTTCATCAACACTTGCCATTAAAATTCTTTATCAATTCAAGTCAGTAAAACAATGGACTTCAGTGTCACCCACGTGGCCGAATTGTGCAGTTCCATATTGAAATTGTCGCATTGTCTTGTTGTTTAAGTGGGTATCTTTCTTTTCTTTAAATTTCTCACAAAATCAAGCATTTGAACACTGTATTTATCAATGAAAAATACATCTGGTATGCATTGTTCATAAATCACCTGCCGAATAAAAAGTGAACACACTTTAAAACTTATCACAGGCATTTTATTAAATAAAATATTGCCATATATACAACATTAACAACCAAGTTACACTGATTAGACGTAACCGACTCATCGCTCTTTAGATCAATCACGTTTTCCCGATCCACATACAAACTCATACTAACAATTATGGCAAGCCAAGTTGTCCTTCATTCATGAAGCTATTTTGATCCGTTACTCCACCACATTGTATCAAATATCTTGTAGACTTTATTAGATATCTTGTTTATCCGATAAAGTATCTTACATAATATATACCTTATAGATTTTATTCAATATCTTGTTTATTTGATAAAATCACTTGTACAACATCTATTGATAGATTTTATTAAATATCTTTTTTATTTGATAAAGTCCCCTCTATAATATATACCTTGTAGCTTTTATTAGATGTCTTGTTTTTTGATAAAGTGGCTGATATAATATATATATTACATACTGATAAACTAATGTACTTGTCTTTATATGATATATACATAACATTAAATAATCTTTCTCATGAATAATTTATCTTATACATAAAATGAGATATATATCAGGATGTCTTTTATAATTTGGTTAAGTACTGGATCCACATTGTTCAACGAGTAAATGATAACTTGGCTTGCCATAGACGATCATACTTTTATCTCGGTCTAAATCCACCAAAATATCAGGTATATCGCCATATGTACCTCTCCATGTTCTATTTACAATACCTATATCAATTATTCATTCTAAATAATGTCACTCCCATACCGCTGACAAATTGTTTATTACCCTTCCCTAGTTAACGACTATAATGAACCAAAAATATAATTCCAAGGGTATATCTAAAATTATCGGGTCAAACTTCGGGCTGTGTAATTAAATGTTGGATAATACGTGATATTTATAGGGATGCTATCCTGTAGTGATTTCTTGTTGTTTTTGTTTCAGCTGAATTTCAAAATTGTGGCCATGTCATTGTTTCTTTTTTTCTATAAATACTCTCCTAAACTAATGAAATGCAAAATACTAAATCTGTATTTTGTCTATCCCAATGATAATTCAAATTGTCAATGGGTCTTCAAACAATACCAATAAGAAACCCAAGGCCTTATACATGTAGAATGAAACCTAGCACCAAAACAACAGGAATGCACTTAGAAATAAGCGTAGGTACGACGAAAGGGAAGGTAAATAAACTTAAGAGAGTCCGTACAGCAAAAGTTCCCTTTCATATGTAGCTAAAATGACTTCACACGTTGATAAGGGTTTAAATGTGTCAGACTCGCTTTGTAAAAACACTCTTAAAAAGATGTTAAAACTTTTTCAATCTTCCAAACTTTATGTAAATAATAAATCATAATCAGTGCAATGGTGGCGATGGCAGAGACTTTAACCAAACAAATTATCGGAATGACCCACACAGTACAGAATTCACACTAGTTACACATACACATGATCACACTGGTATGCTTTAACATGAAGATGTTCAATTGGAATGCCTTTCTTTCCCTTAATATCACATAACGATCAGTGTTTAACGATTAACACTCCGTATAAAAACCACACAAAGAATGTTCATCAACAGGATTACTCTCCAGTATAATTGAGAGAACATTAATCACATGTACTATACAAAGCAATTCATTGAAAGTTTCCCATGTGATTTTATCTATCGCAATAAACACTGACACAATTTTTATCCGCCACAATAAACATCGACCCAAACCTTCTTCATCCACCACAATAAACATCGACCCAAACCTTCTTCATCCTCAACAATAAACATCGACCCAAACCTTCTTCATCCACCACAATAAACATCGACCCAAACCTTCTCCGTCCACCACAATAAATATCGACCCAAACCTTCTTCATCCTCAACAATAAACATCGACCCAAACCTTCATCCACAACAATAAACATTGACCCAAACCTTCATCCACCACAATAAACATCGACCAAATCCTTCTTCATCCACCACAATAAACATCGACCCAAACCTTCATCCACCACAATAAACATCGACTCAAACCTTCTTCATCCACCACAATAAACATCGACCCAAACCTTCTTCATCCACCACAATAAACATCGACCCAAACCTTCTTCATCCACCACAATAAACATCGACCCAAACCTTCTTCATCCACCACAATAAACATCGACGCAAACCTTCTTCATACACCTCAATAAACATCGACCTAAACCTTCTTCATCCACCACAATAAACATCGACCTAAACCTTCTCCGTCCACCACAATAAATATCGACCCAAACCTTCTCCGTCCACCACAATAAATATCGACCCAAACCTTCTTCATCCTCAACAATAAACATCGACGCAAACCTTCTTCATCCACCACAATAAACATCGACCAAATCCTTCTTCATCCACCACAATTAACATCGACCCAAACCTTCTTCATCCACCACAATAAACATCGACCCAAACCTTCTTCATCCACCACAATAAACATCGACCCAAACCTTCTTCATCCACCACAATAAACATCGACCCAAACCTTCTTCATCCACCACAATAAACATCGACGCAAACCTTCATCCACCACAATAAACATCGACCCTAACCTTCTTCATCCACCACAATAAATATCGACGCAAACCTTCATCCACCACAATAAACATCAACCCAAACCTTCATCCACCACAATTAACATCGACCCAAACCTTCTTCATCCACCACAATAAACATCGACCCAAACCTTCTTCATCCACCACAATAAACATCGACCCAAACCTTCATCCACCACAATAAACATCGACGCAAACCTTCTCCATCCACCACAATAAACATCGACCTAAACCTTCTTCATCCACCACAATAAACATCGACCCAAACCTTCTTCATCCACCACAATAAACATCGACACAATCCTTTTTCATCCACCACAATAAACATCGACCCAAACCTTCATCCACCACAATTAACATCGACCCAAACCTTCTTCATCCACCACAATAAACATCGACCCAATCCTTTTTCATCCACCACAATAAACATCGACCTAAACCTTCTTCATCCACCACAATAAACATCGACCCAATCCTTTTTCATCCACCACAATAAACATCGACCCAAACCTTCATCCACCACAATTAACATCGACCCAAACCTTCTTCATCCACCACAATAAACATCGACCCAATCCTTTTTCATCCACCACAATAAACATCGACCTAAACCTTCTTCATCCACCACAATAAACATCGACCTAAACCTTCTTCATCCACCACAATAAACATCGACCCAATCCTTTTTCATCCACCACAATACACATCGACACAAGCCTTCTTCATCCACCACAATAAACATCGACCCAAACCTTCTCCATCCACCAGAATAAAAGTGACCCAAACCTAGGGTGAGTTGTATATCGCCATTAGTGTAGAATTGTCCCAATAACCCGATTCAGTTACACCCGCTGTATACTGTGACTGCTGTAATGATAATGGTATAAATCGAGTATGAGTAGGCTTCTATACAGAAGCTTGTGAATTAGAAAGGAATGAAAAACTGCCACACTGATTAGTTTCTCGTCGGTAAAACTATTTTATACGTCTGTCTGTGATGACAAACATCGAAAGGACGAGTACTGACCACGTAATACACGACTACAATGATTTTTTTCTGCTCTCCTTTGTTACCAATATATTTTATATCTTCAGACTGAAGGCGTGTTAGTGGTCACTAACTTCAAAACATGTGCAGCATAATCCTCCAAGGAATTCGAATGTCATGTGATGCTTATAAACGTGAAGATGACGCTTCTACTATAAATTGTATAAAAGATGTTGAAGCAAGGGTATTGAAAATATTGCGTTATGTTGAAGCATTCCTAAGACATTTTGCTAAAATGTACATCTTACAAGCCTTCAAGCATGTAAACTATTTGTCTGGTCAACACACAAGGTCAATCAACGTTTTATATTAAATAACCAAGAATAATTTAGAAGGGAATATTATGTGTAATATTCGATTCGATTTGAATGAGATCAGGTAGCAGTTTTTCATCCAAGAAAGTAGTAGTAACTTTAAGCTTGCATATATAAAGTTCGATAACTCCAACAACACTACAGCAAAGTTATCATACATTTGTTAAAGTTCGACAACTGCAACAACACCTATTGCACTTTGTTTATGCCAAATAACTCCAACAACACTACAGCAAAGTTATCGCACTTTGTTAAAGTTCGATAACTCCAACAACACTACAGCAAAGTTATCGCACTTTGTTAAAGTTCGATAACTCCAGTAACACTACAGCAAAGTTATCGCACTTTGTCCATGAACTGAGACTTCATTCATCGAAAACACTTCTTGATTGAAGATCATTGTCATTATGAATGGCACCTAATCCATAATTACGAGATTTAACAGAAATCCGTTTAAAAAGTCATTCCACTGATTAAGCTAGGCTGTTTGGTGTTAGCATCGTGATGGCCGGCGTCCGAGGGGAGTCATCTGACTGGAGTAAGACTCGGCCTGACGTTCAGCACAGTCCTCATGTACTTGCGGAGATGACTCATCTGATGTGAAGACATCTCCTGCCACATGGAGAAGAGCTTACCACTGGCAGCAATGTCGTGAAGCAGGTCGAAATGATGTACAAGGCGAAGATTTTCATTGTACATCGAATGTGCCACCATCTTCTTGGACCCCTCATCGTTCGCTACTATGACCACAACATTCACTGAAGAAAAAGGCAAGGAATTAAATTCTACTTTCTCACCATAAGAATACACAAAACAACTAAAAAGGCATCTTTTCAAAACCGCCTTTTGGGAAATGAATCCTTTGTTTCAACGTGACTTCAATATGAAGAAATTCTCATAAATTCACGATAAGTTTTCCCTATCAAAGACGGCCAAATCAATATCTATCACGATTCCATAGTTTATTCGAATAGTGGTACGGTTCGGAACATACACATGTACTTGATTTTCTGATATATGAAAATTACGAAATTAATTTGGACTTTTCTATCACTTTGGATTTTCCTAAGTCGCCTCCTAAGCTTCAAAATTTAGTTCCTTATCTTTACTAACGAGTCCTCGAAGGACAAAACAGCTGTATGACGCAGTTTAATTAATTGTTTGGCTGTACTGAATCGAACTCTAAATTACTTATAGGTGCTATTTGCATGTGTGTATTTTGTTCACTATCCACTTTAATACAATATTTAGGAAACCACTGTTAATAGACGGTGATTTTTAACGCAACCATATGTAAAAGCAATGAAATCGGGAAAGTTATCAATGTAGCTTAAACATCAGCAAAATTATTTTGGGAACCCGACACTTTTCCTTTCCAAGGTCAAAGGTAACATTTTATTTGATCTGGTGTAAATGACATGAACATTGCCTTGTCAAAATGTAAAGAAACCGTGCACCAACGGATCATTTCTAGCTGCTATGGCTGCAGATACTATACGGAAATAATAAGCTGAGCTATTTAATATACCTCAAGTTTGGCAGAAATATGTTCAACCAATCATCAAGTTTATCAGAAAAGTAATGTCGTGAAACCTTCACGTAGGTTCCTATATCTCAAACATAAGCTTCTTTTGTCATTTGAAAAACTGAGTTCGATCCCTTTTATCTATTATTATTATTATTTATTTTCAAACTGTGTTAATTAGTGTGGTCCAGATAAATTCATTGGGGTTTCTTTAAATACATCACCAAACTAGAAATATATACATAAAACCTAGTTATTTAGATGTTTCATGTTTAGTCTGTCTATCACACGATACCGGGTATTATATGTCAAATTCGACCGATCCAAACCATTTTACCAAGTCGACTTACCTGTGATCGTCCTGAGGACTTTAATCGCCGCTATGTGTAAATCCCAGCCGTTTGTTTTGCCAGATGAAACCTCACAGTCACAGATGACCACATACAATTTAACAGGAGGCACATTCTTGACGTCATTAATATTTTCTATGATGAAGAATGGGTTTGAGGCTAGTTTCACTTCGGTAAAGTTCTTCAGCATAGCTTCTATCAACGAAGTGAAAATATTGTTATTCTCTTTTCGGAATAGAAGCACACACATTTCGTTCCTAAGGAAGATGTGCTTTGGAGTCGAGCAGCCAGATGAACCCTGTCAACACAAAATAACACATATTACTGGTACCATATCGCAACACCCAACATATAGATAAGATAAGAGTTAACCAATGATAATCGACTGACAAAGTAACCCAGTCTTAATAAAACAGTTTGGAGAATACTTGTAAGATATAATTGTTAATCAACCATATCAATTTTCTCTTTGACTAGACATAGAATGTTTCCTCCGGTGATCGTATATTTACAACCATTTGGTTCATTATTGTTTTCTTTCCATTCAGAATCTTACTTGACCTCGGTATCGCTGAGAGTTAATGCGTGACGGATACCCATCCCCAACATTCATCAAATTGGTAACACACATCGTAATTCTTTGTTTAGAGTTTCGCATTTTCGAGAAAAAAACAAAAATTGAATTGCACATTTAAAGAAAATATTTTTCATTATATAAATAAAATGAACAATTCATTGTTGACCAGGTTTTGGGATGCTATTTCTGTTGCCGATTATATATACGTAACATGTATAACATCTGTCATTATTAAGAGAATGCGGGTTTAATCAATAGATAACAAGCTTACAGAACATTAAACAGCGTACTCTGATACAGTCAGTTTTAGACAATGACAGAAGTAAAATGTGTCATACGTTCTTAAATATCAATAGATCAGTTTTAGCTTATCAAATACAGTAGGTAATGCCGCTAAAACAACACAAAATTATCAAAACAAATGCAACTCATGCGTAAGTACCGAATCGCAGTAATTTTAGATATTTACAGTATTTAACATTGCCTGATGTTACATAGATTATTAAAGAAGATATGTTTTCCACATCAACCAAGTTGCCTTGGATCTATGTTCAGGTAAGGTACTCCAAGCTAGATAGACAAAAGAGGGTGAAATATAACGGAGAAAAGATTATTTCAAATTTCGCTTCAGTACTGGTTTGTCCGTATGAAATAAACTGGTACACGCATATGTATCAGATGAATTCGGTCAAACCATGTATTATTAGAGGGCTCAAATGTCGCGGTTTGAAAAACAAAACTTTCCATAGGCATTTGATTTCGTGGATACATAATTTAAAAGTCCACAAATACAAAATTCCATGTCATCTTAAACCATTCATCGATCCCTGGACATATGAATTCGATTACAAATCAATGCAATCAATATGCTGATGAAAATATTTGATTTTACAGTGTTGCTGAAGACCCAAACTTTTAACTTTGCTAGCTCGCATATCTAAACCCTTTCATTAAGCTTCTTTTCTTGTAATATAGTATCGCATTTAAACATAAAAATCCTATTATCTTACATTCATGCACGTGCTTATTCATGTACAAATATTCCTAGCACAATGTCATCCTAAAGATTATGTAACCAAGCAGAAGAAAACTACATTGAGATATCCTTAGAGCAGGTATTAATGAGTAACCACCGGGGTATAATTCTAGAGCATGTATCGATTACATAAGTCACTATGTCACGATATAAATGGCACTGGAGAGCCTTAATGTTAAACCTCAAGGCCGAGGCCCATTCTGTTGTGGGACCCGCATGATAATTCCGATATCACACCACCATAGAGTATTTATTTTTTGTAAAGAGGTTACATCAACATGTGTGGAGATTAATTACTACCTGGGATACCGGCTATAACGGGATAGATGTCTGCCTTAACGTATTGCTGCTGTGCGCTTATCTGTAGGGTTTACGGCTTGACTGTAGTATTTCTACAATCATAACTGGGTATGAAGATCCACTAACATGTTAATACACTTACCATTGTTGTATGTATCTAACGCGTCAGTTTTATCAGTACATTGCGTGCAATATAAAGTAGGATTATTTAAAGTTAAATATTATGTCTGGTGGTTGTATTGTTATATAATGTGTAACCGTTTACTATCTAAGATTTTGGCATTTTTTTAATTGACCAATATTCATATCACGGGTGTTCTCTATTTAGCTGAAGGCACTTTTCCTTCCGGGACACCTTTTTTCTTTTTGCTTGTACATCTTTTGTCATATGGCGACACGCCCCGGTATTCATTATCAACCTGTTTATCTCAGAACTCTGAAAACTGCCTTATGTTATCAATCCAAAGATTTTAAAAACTTTCCAAGTGAACAAGCACGCCCGAGAAAATGTTAACAGGAAATGATTTGTTGTTGTGAATTGTTATAACACTAGCTTGACTATCACGTTTCTGACTTGATCAAAAGGCGGCCAGTTATCATACAGCTGCTTCATCAGTGAAATTACGTTTTACTTAACAACGCAGGGTAGAATTATCAGCGAGAGGCGTAATCAGGATTTACCGTAACTAGATTAAACATTAACGCCAAGGTAATCGTCCCTTCCGATGCATTAAATAGATATTGATGTGGCCACATTCCATCATACAAGTAATAAAGCACCAAACATAGCTGAAGAATCCAAGTATCTGTCATTGATGAAATTAGCACACAATGGCAGTTAAATTCCAGGGGGAGGGACTGCAGAACAGTACCAAATTAAAGGTACTCTTGTGTATTTTCCCCTCTGATTTCTCTCATTGATAGATACAGATAAGGTCTACTACAAAAGGAGGCTGTCCAGTGATTAAGCATTCTCGTAGTGCCATCACCGTATTCATTCTGTAGGATTTCCACACGACGTGCAATTCTTTGACTAGATGATCGTAAAAGTACGAGTTTTTTTTTTAAACAATAATACGACTTGATTGGTGTGCTGTAATAGGTATTGCCTTGTGTACATTATTATACTATGTATATAAAGTATATATGTTTACTTCCATATTCGCTATTCTATCAATAAAGAATAATTATGTGGTTATCAAAATCAAAAGTTCCAAAGCGACGACTTTATACATATCAGAACAACTGATTACAAACAAAGCAATTGTTAAAGTAAGAGTGTGAAGTGCTGTTTATCGTTTTGAGTTAGTGATATTTTGATATAAAACATTCTTCACACATATAAAGTGCGCATTTTATGTACAAAATCATTTTCTTTCTTAGTGAGAAGATGATTTCTCTGCATGCGGTACATTAATACAAAAGAATACTAGCTGCCATGAGAGCACAGAAACACAGAAAGGTTGTCTTTCAAACGGAAAACATTGTTTGATAGTATTGATGTACAAAAGCAGACGAAGATTTGTAGATATTATCATACTGATAACGTACGCCTGAAAGACAAAGCAAATCACTATTAGAAGCTCAACCTGTTTGACAAGCATTCATCATTAGTAGAAGCTCGACCTGTTGGACAAGCATTCATCACTAGTAGAAGCTCGACCTGTTGGACAAGCATTCATCACTAGCAGAAACTCGACCTGTTGGACAAGCATTCATCACTAGTAGAAGCTCGACCTGTTGGACAAGCCTTCATCACTTGTAGAAGCTCGACCTGTTGGACAAGCCTTCATCACTAGTAGAAGCTCGACCCGTTGGACAAGCCTTCATCACTAGTAGAAGCTCGACCTGTGGGACAAGCCTTCACCACTAGTAGAAGCTCGACCTATTGGACAAGCCTTCATCACTAGTAGAAGCTCGACCTGTTGGACAAGCCTTCATCACTAGTAGAAGCTCGACCTATTCTACTAGCCTTCATCACTAGTAGAAGCTCGACCTATTGGACAAGCCTTCATCACTAGAAGAAACTCGACCTGTTGGACAAGCCTTCATCACTAGTAGAAGCTCGACCTGTTGGACAAGCCTTCATCACTAGTAGAAGCTCGACCTATTCTACTAGCCTTCATCACTAGTAGAAGCTCGACCTATTGGACAAGCCTTCATCACTAGTAGAAACTCGACCTGTTGGACAAGCCTTCATCACTAGTAGAAGCTCGACCTGTTGGACAAGCCTTCATCACTAGTAGAAGCTCGACCTATTTTACTAGCCTTCATCACTTGTAGAAGCTCGACCTGTTGGACACTTAGTGGGAGAGTTGTTGTATTCGCCCTGTCACATTGTATGACAAATCATCGCGGGGTGAATGTGCTTTGTACTCCTACTGGTGTAGCATTGTGTATATCATAGTGATCTAATATGTTATAAACATTATTATTTTCTGTGTATTTATTATTTATGGCCTTTAAATCATTCCATTGACATGATTAGATCGCCTATTACCGGAATGGTTAACACACTTCCATATATTGTGATATGATTGTCCAATATCGCGTGACAGCTGGTAGCTGCTCAATTGGTCACAGTAGTAGTAGTCATTACGGCAGCTACCCGCCATTTTCTCTTTTGCTACAGAAATCGATGGTGATTTGGAGGGTGGATATGATCCCTCGACAGCGATGGTATATATCTGTGTATATGATTTGGACGTTGTGGTTTATCTCTGGAATATCTCTTGACGATTTTTGCTATTACTAGCAGTGACGCTCAAAGTTAATCAGACATAATTAGAACCATTCGTGATGAGATGACGAAAAAGAATTGAAAAGAGTATGTCATTCCTCGAGCAAACGTATCTTAGAAGAGTCAGTGCAATTGTAAACACGAGTTGTACGAGCTGTGTTAGGAAAAAATGGACAGCGGAAAAAGATTTCATTTTAATGCCAAAAGGCGATATTGCATCTGGTTAGTGACTACGTCTCTACTGTTTAAAATGAAATGTAACCTTGATGCGTCTAAATTATACCTATATCTATATATCTATACGTAGATATTTCATCAGCAGTATACACTTACCAGACGAATACTATACTACAGATATAATTACATCCGATACATATACCTTGTAATAAGCTGAATATACTTCACAGAAATGAAACATTTTTACGCTAAAGATAAACAAAAGATATTCTTATACATAAAAAGAAAATTTGAAAATAGTAAGAAAATACGAACATGTTAAGAAAACGTTAATTTGAAGAAACATAGATGTTCATGTTCTGATATTGATATCAGGAATCTTAAACTGTGATAATGACGTGATTTTCAGTTGGGCCAATGTTGTAGGGATAAGACTTACAAAGACACACAGGTGAATATAAATCTAGAGTTAGATACATAGAGCCAAACAATGTAGGATTTAAACTGCATTATACAGCTGTTCCGTCATTCTAGAACTCATTATTGATGATATGATCTAAATTTCGAAGCCTAGGAGGCGACTGCGGACAAGCGCCATCATTTAGTAAAGTTTGTAATGTCTATATATCTGATAACTTTAGAACAATGTAAAAAATCTGAACCGGGCCAGTATACGAATAAAATAAAGATATTTCATGCAGGTTACAGGGCTACACTTCGCCGTGTTTTCCTTTGTTTCCTTCTGTGTCTCAGTTTAAAGTTCATTTTGTTAAAGAGATTGAAGTTTATATTTCAATAATCGCCTACCCTAGATCAAACCAAAAAGTATGCAACGGTGATTTCCTCTGCTGATCCTCAAAGATAATGTTTAAAGATATGTAGATTATTTATACTATTTTGTGCAAAAAAATCTTCTTTTCCATTAGGATTCATCCAGATAACATGATTTACTGTATCGTGGAGTTTGAATAACGTCGATAATTGGTGTTGAAATTGAAGATCTTTTCTTTAACATTAATAACATATATTTTACCTTTTTAACCGAAACCTCCTTTCCATTTGACCTACGTGGTGTTGAAACTGACGGTGGCGTCCGAATGATTCCACGCATTGCAAGCCAATGGCGGACAATCGGTTCTAGCTTTAGGATCAGCTCGGTCAGGACGAGTAGAAATAAAATAAAGCCCAAAATTTCTGTAAATGAAAATAAATGTATCAGCATTTCTTTTTCAAACAATCCCCACACATCCGAGTAGGTATTCATATCATTGATAGTTAAATGAAACCAGGGACAAACCTTCAAATTTTGAAAAGTTAAATATAAACTCATATTGTTACTGAGATTAAGTATTTTCTGCATTTAAAAAGAAAACAAAAGCCATTATTGTCAAGTTCAAAAAGATTTAAAGACATTGTGAGAGTCCAATAATTGTTCAATACATTACCTCTCTTGTAGAACTTTGGTAATATATCTCGGTGGGTCTTGCAATACAACTAATTCCATATATCACGCGATTCCAGTATTGCAAAATAAGTGGTATATATAAAAAATATTCAGATTTGTAATTCAATTTATTTCTTGACCCTATATAAGGTCAAATAACGTGTTATATTACATTTATAATACTAAAAATTACAATTTGAAAAACCAAACATGAATTCTGTTGCAATTAGTTTGAGGGCGAGGGGCAGCTTTGATTAAAATGATTGGATTACAAAATTGCCGTTCAGCTTGCTGGACTGACCACAAATCCGGAGCAATGTATATTACATAAGTAATTTAATATTTAACAGCAATTGCTTCAGGAATATATAATGATTTTGATAACAATTCAATATAAACCGTTGTTTTCCGAATTAAATAAATTTCTGGGTATTGAACTAGAATAGATATTACGTGATTTTATATACGTAGCAGTATTTCTGATGATAGCAGGTAATTTATAGACACATAAGAAGTACATACAGTATCTCTACAGATATACTCGATCTATCAAGGATTCCCTGCTGACGTCTGAACCAAAGTTCCTCTATATGACAAGTATTGACATGAAGTAGACATGTATACATGTATTATCCCCTGGCGTATTAACGCGAGGTGATGACTAGATCGCATTTGTCCGTAGAAAATTCGTACGAGAAAGATTTATTGGGTTGTAAGTACCCTGACGATCGTACAATCGATGACAGACAATGTGATTAAGACTGATACAGTGATAAGGGCCTTGTTATCTCGGACGTAAATTGTCTATGATGTACTGAGAATGAGTTGGGTAGAACTTTTTAACGGTTTTCGTTGTCTGCTTTTTTGCAGTTTAATGAACCGTTATAACTTCGTTAGAGACAGGAGGAATCGAGTACAACAATGTACTTTTGCTGTCAATTAACAGACTATTACTGACAAAAGAAACCGCCCAGCTGCGGCCATCATTGGATCTCCTGGGAAAACTAAGTGGTATTTTTGTTGACTGGCGTTCTCGAATTATATTTATCATAGATATATTTTATAAACTGGCATCTATGAACATAATAGATAAACCCTCGAGGAATAAGTAACGACCAAAAGATTTATAAAATAATTCAAATTCAGAAATTTTAATAATAAAATTCAGTAATGACAGATCATTCACTCGTCTAACTGGCAAAGTTGACTTTCTTGAAAATTGGATCTTCTCAAATCTTACTTTTGGATCTGTAGTGAAATTAGTGACAAGTATTTCCTTCATTTTTTCTGATGTTGCCAAATTCGACCACAAGCTAAAATCGAGTATTTTCAGTTTTGATTTGAGCATGCCCTATATATATCACTAACACTGCGTTATGTTTCAGGCAATATCAAAGTTTAATCAAAACAAATGATAGATTGAAAATGCTCACATAGGTATTCACTGAATTAATTACATTGACTACGGTACATCAATACGACTCACAATCTGTTACCTGAGGGCGTGATAATAAAGTAATCATAGGTATTCCTGCTATGTATCATGTATCGATTCTCAGTGAACAATGCTACATCACAAGAATATTAAAATGATATTGGGTACGTTTTGAATTATTGTAACATATTTCTCCTTTGTTACAGACTTGGAGTTGCTCAAATGTCTAAGAACCATAAGATCTTCACATGATTTTCAGAAAGTTTACAATGGCCCTTTACTTGGTACCAAAGACACTGTTTCGCACTTTAAGGCCAATTATGAAAATCGATATTAACAATAATGCGGATAAATCAGATTTAAGAACAAAATGAAGTTTAAATAAGTGAAATGTAACAATACAGTATGCGTAAAATATCAAACTATTCCAGACAAGCACTTGTTTGTTGTCAACTGCAGCAGCGGTCGCAGCTTGTAATGACAATCTGATTAAAATTCAGATCTTCACAACTTAATCAAATAATTGTTAGTAATAACACTATCGTCTCATCAAATTTACTCGCCAAAGATTGTAAATATTCAATTTTCAGTAACTATATATATATACTATACCTTTATAATACAATCTTACCGTCAGATCTGAGCTTTGAGGCTAACTGTGACACTCTAGTTTCCATAAGGTCATACTGCCTGCTGATATTTCCCAATTTTTCGTTGAACAAGGCTAGTTTGTCGTTTAGAAATGTATTCAAATCCGACTGATTGTTGACTTCTCGTTCGATTGTTTCTCGCGCCACTACTTGCTCCTTGAACGCCATTTCCATCAAATGAAGACGATTGGTTAGGTCTGAAAACACGTGTGACCATGGACAATTCTCGTGGTTGATGTCCGTACACTGGTCTGCTGACGTCAGCGATCCGTTTTCTAATAGAACATTGGAGGAGGCAGACGACAGCATCCACCTCATCGTCGTGATCACCCCAATTACGGAAAACATACACCTGGAAAAAGAAAAAATGGACAAGTGAGCTACGATGCTAATAGTTATATTTCGACGAAAGGACAAGTCACTTTTTCCTCTTTGTGAGATGTTGGTAAACACTTTGAACATTTTTATAAAAAGTTTTAACAAAGTACCGACTGTCACTACTTTCTCAGTATGACAGACCACTTGTTTTATAGCATATTCTAGTATTGCGCAAACTCCTGAAAGTGAAAAAACCGTTTCCGAGTTCTTCTGTTGTTTCGTTATTCTGTCAAATCGACAATAAATGACACGACCAGACATAAAACAATTCTATTGAATTCCACAAACAATCTTTACATTATTGTGCACAGTAGAATGTAGACGATGGTTAGGCTTCCAATGATATGGCCATCCACATTGAGAGCCAAAGGTAACTTGACAGAAACGTCGATATGTTGTAGATATCCTACATGCAGCAGGGGATTATAAACAACAATTGGTCGACTCTACATCCAATAACATAGATAAAATGGTGGCTTCTTGTGTCATGTCTTTGGGCCTTGTCATAAATGTCATAAAACACATGAGATTATTGTGATTGTCTCGGTACTGCACTAAGATAAATATGTCTTTAAGGGAAATTAATTTCAGATTTTTTTTCTTTGCTTTTGTTTTCAGAAATACGAGTCATAAGTAAGGAAAATTTTACACTCAGGTAGATAGAATCAATTAAACTCGGTAAATCATTTGATTGTCATTCATCTTCCTGGATTTCGGGTATTGCCGTATTTCCGTATGAGAATGTATGCTAAAACGATCAAGATCTTTTACTTTTTCGTTGACTGAATTAACGGTAATGTGATATTTTGTTGATTTACTTTCAGTTTGTACTGAAGCACTAGCCATTGATGTTAATGTATAGATAGGATGAAATTAGGAAGAACTGCAATAGTCACAAAAATGACAAAGGGCTAAAGACTATGGAACAAAATAACAAATATGATATTGCTTGCTTGTGGCAACAGAAGTCATACAAGTGAACTTCCAGTGATGTAGAGAAATGTCATGGTATTTCGGGCAGATCTTTGCCGATGATAGGTGCCTTCATTTTAAACAAGAGAAAGTGACGTGCGTTGTAGCAATATGAGCTAGTTGCTGATCCTCTCTTAAGAATTAGGTGTAATTTATCAAGGCATCGGATTGAGAATATCACATCAACGGGTAACAAATTACACAACAAATTCAGAATTTACCAGAGTGGTATCGTCACTATCCCACGACTCATATCACAGTGGTGTCCTTCTAGTCCTTCAATACACGAATTCCGCCATTTTTACAAGATGGTGTAGAAATGTTGGAGAAAGAGCGACATATGTCTAGGCTTGTTGTGAGTCAGACCATTAATGTTACATTGGTAGTCACAACAGGAAACTTTTCCGTAAATCTCTTTTCCTCGAATGACTTCTTTGTGTTTCATGATATATCGTGACTATATATATAAGAACATCTGGTGTGTTGGCGTTAATACGTATAGAAGAAAGTAACTCCCTATAAAATCAATACTGATGTAAGCTGTATACCAGGTATAGGCTAAAAGTCGGATTAATATCGATAATATTTTACCGTAGTCATCATTATCATTGAATAAAGCGTAAGCGTTCAAACTTTTTGTATCGACTGCTTTGTAATGCATATTATTTTTTGTTTTCATATGACTTCAATGTAATACTACATCAGAGATTGGATTCAAGTATATAACTACAATGTAATACTATAACAGAGATTTGGTTCAAGCACATAACTACAATGTAATACTACAACAGAGATTTGGTTCAAGCATATAACTACAATGTAATACTATAACAGAGATTTGGTTCAAGCACATAACTACAATGTAATACTATAACAGAGATTTGGTTCAAGTATATAACTACAATGATACTATAACAGAGATTTGGTTCAAGCACATAACTACAATGTAATACTATAACAGAGATTTGGTTCAAGCACATAACTACAATGTAATACTATAATAGAGATTTGGTTCAAGCACATAACTACAATGTAATACTATAACAGAGATTTGGTTCAAGCACATAACTACAATGTAATACTATAACAGAGATTTGGTTCAAGCACATAACTACAATGTAATACTATAACAGAGATTTGGTTCAAGCACATAACTACAATGTAATACTATAACAGAGATTTGGTTCAAGCACATAACTACAATGTAATACTATAACAGAGATTTGGTTCAAGCACATAACTACAATGTAATACTATAACAGAGATTTGGTTCAAGCACATAACTACAATGTAATAATATAACAGAGATTTGGTTCAAGCACATAACTACAATGTAATACTATAACAGAGATTTGGTTCAAGCACATAACTACAATGTAATACTATAACAGAGATTTGGTTCAAGCACATAACTACAATGTAATACTATAACAGAGATTTGGTTCAAGCACATAACTACAATGTAATACTATAACAGAGATTTGGTTCAAGCACATAACTACAATGTAATACTATAACAGAGATTTGGTTCAAGTATATAACTACAATGTAATACTATAACAGAGATTTGGTTCAAGCACATAACTACAATGTAATACTACAACAGAGATTTGGTTCAAGCATATAACTACAATGTAATACTATAACAGAGATTTGGTTCAAGCACATAACTACAATGTAATACTATAACAGAGATTTGGTTCAAGTATATAACTACAATGTAATACTATAACAGAGATTTGGTTCAAGCACATAACTACAATGTAATACTATAACAGAGATTTGGTTCAAGCACATAACTACAATGTAATACTATAACAGAGATTTGGTTCAAGCACATAACTACAATGTAATACTATAACAGAGATTTGGTTCAAGCACATAACTACAATGTAATACTATAACAGAGATTTGGTTCAAGCACATAACTACAATGTAATACTATAACAGAGATTTGGTTCAAGCACATAACTACAATGTAATACTATAACAGAGATTTGGTTCAAGCACATAACTACAATGTAATAATATAACAGAGATTTGGTTCAAGCATATAACTACAATGTAATAATATAACAGAGATTTGGTTCAAGCACATAACTACAATGTAATACTATAACAGAGATTTGGTTCAAGCATATAACTACAATGTAATACTGTAACAGAGATTGGATTCTAGCATAATTTCTCTCAAATGTATGAGAACAATACGTCATTAGTAACCACTGGCTTAACAGTTCATTTATGGCTGATCCGATAACATCCTCCCATAACTTAAACGGGCTTCTTAGAATCAGTCACTTTATGTGTGATCAAAGGTGTCGGTCGGGCGCCTTAACAGTATAGAGGTGGCACACAGCGGAATTATTTCAAATGCAAGTACACATTTGGGAGAAATATTGTCAGTAATTCCAACAGGAGCTGCTAGCGTTACGTTTGAGAAGAGCTCTCGGAACTTTGAGTCAACAACTTAAAATCCTACTAAGGGATCTGTGTGCATTATATAAACTAATGCAATCATTTTCTGAACATGTTTTCACATATCGTTACAAGTTCTCTGTTCGTCTTTATCGTTTTCGCGTGTCGTAGACAAACGGGACAAAGAAGATAATGATTTATATGGCTCCAAAGCCAACATTATCTGTGTCATGGTACCTACCGTCAGAATACAAATATTCCGATAATATGACAAATATTAGCAAACAATAAAATATCAATGCTGCGTAGTTATAAGAACTAGGCACAAATTCATAAAGCCCATTGGAGACAAATATTACCTAAAATATCACCAGAACTTTGCTCGGTATCGCAAATATGATCTTCATTTTGTAAAAAAAAAAATGAATAAACAAACAAACCTATCAATGATGAATTGCTTACAGCTTTTTTCAAATACATGTAATGGATTTCTGTCGAGGCAAACTCCGTTCCGTTATGCTGGTGTTGTGTTCCCGGCTTTGCTGGAAACAGCTTAGTTATATGATAAGAATGACTGCGATAAACCAATGAAAAAAGACAGTGAAGTAAAGAGGAGAGTAACGTGCAGCATGAGAATACGTTGTCAGATCTCTAATACGTAAGTTATCCTGGCAACCCTGCTAGACAGAACAAGCCATCATTGCTTGACCAATTTAATTCACAATGACAACCTAAACAATCGAATGCTATCAAAAGTGATTGAAGAGAAACACATTCCAAATCGAGACAAAGTGAGTGAGGTCATGTGTGGTTTTGAATCTATCTACATCCGGTTTAACCACGAATATTGAAATAATGTTAACGAAATGCAATCGAATCCAACAAAATGTTGACGGTCGCCATAATTTTATAAACCTTGATGTGTATGAAAGATTCGTAACTGTAAAATAGAAAAAAAATAATAACCATACAATTAAAAAAAGTAAAAATGCAACGAGTCCTGCGTCAGCGTGTATCCCGGCTTCGTCAGAAATACTTAACAGTAACTTAATCCATTCTTAAATAAGTAGCTTGATCTTAAGAGAAATAGTCCGACATTGCTCCAACTTAGCAAGAAGAAAAGAGACCACTGGCTATCACCACTATATAGATTATTGTTACAGTGAAGACCGATATCAGAGACAAGTATAGTTGTAACAGGAACCGTTACATCAGTCTCCCCAATAGCTGTTTCAGATAATGCTTATTGAAACAGGAAATAGATTTAATCCTTCACTAAGCCTATCATCACTAAAGCAGGGTTCCTGAACTCTGGAGGCATGCTTCACACAACAGAGGCAGTCATATGGTACGGGTAAGCTATAGCCAATCAGTAGACTCAACCAGACGACACCAGACAACTTACGAAATGATTATCAACATAAGCAAAGAGGGTTGGGAGAGCTTTGACACCTTTGACTATTTTAAAGTTTCAAGTTTAAACATTTGTGGCGGCCATACTTGTTGTTCAATAAAAAAAACGGTTGCACTATTGTGTTCCTTACATAAGATATCATCTATGTATTAATTTTCCTGAAAATAGAC